AGTTAGTACACATACTGTTTTATGACATTGGTTAACAACCCCACGACATGTCAACTGTCTCCCTTCTGGACCTTAGGTTCCCTATTACCAGCTTTCCTGTCCCCTCTTGCCTTCTCTTCCTTGCCCCTGGGCTGGTGTGCCCCTTTAGTCTCGTTTTGTTTTATGAGCCTGTCTAATCTTTGGCTGAAGGGTGAATCTCAGGCGTGACTTCATTACTGAGCTAAAAGCGTGTCCAGGGGCCATACTCCGGGAGTTTCTCCAATCTCTGTCAGGCCAGTAAGTCTGGTCTTTTTTTGTGAGTTAGAATTTTGTTCTACATTTTTCTCCAGCTCTGTCCGGGAACCTCTATTGTAATTCCTGTCCGAGCAGTCAGTGGTGGCAGCTGGGCACCATCTAGTTGTGCTGGACTCAGTCTGGTGGAGGCTGTGGTAGACGTGGTCCATTAGACTAATCTTTCCCTTGTATCTTTAGTTTTCTTCATTCTCCCTTGCTCCCGAAGGGGTGAGACCAGTGGAGTATCTTAGATGGCCACTCACAGACCCCAGATGCTACTCACCAAAGTAGAATGTAGACCATTTTTAATTAAGGATCCTTAATGCAGCTATTGGTATTTGTTGAGTCTTGCAAACAAAAACAACACACAATGAGAAAAAGGAGGGCGTGCCCCTGTGGACCAACTGCTGCCACAGCTGCCTGAGTTCTCACCCCTCCACAGACCCATCACCCCTCCCTCAGCACCTGGAAGAAGAAACAAAGCTGGCTTCTTGCTGAGAGGCCACAGCCTGCCAGCCTCTTCCAAGGCCCTTGTGGCTGATGGTATTGGGTGTGGTAACCTTTCATTCCTGTGCTTTTTTCTGCTAATGGTGTTTCTCCCCAAACTTTTTCCCCAACTGCCTCCCAGTTTGTCATGATGACTGGGAGTGGCCTCAGCCTGCCCCAGCAGGCACCTGCCTCCCTTGCCAAACCCCAACCCTGCAACTAATTCCTGCTTCTGCCTTCAGGGTCTGAGAAACCTTTGAGAAAGGATTAGGGTGGGGAGTAAATAGGGGGAAAACCCTCTCTAGTCTCTCCTCAGCAAGCTTGTTTCTTTGGCCAGGTCTGCCCTTCACCTGCACAATCAGTGTGTAGACAAGCCTCTTAGTGCAGGCCCAATGCTGCCTTATGGTGTGATCCTTCACCATGTAGTTATAGAAATGTGTTTTGAGAAATGGTCTTTAAAAGCTCTGGAACCTGTGTTGTCCATCAACAAGCACTCTCTCTGAAGACAGACTCCTCCCTCTAAGGTCTACATCCCGAAATCCAGGGAAGGAGTTGTAGCCAGTTCCCACCCTGCTGCCAGGCCTGAGTCAGCGGGCACAGACAGAAGGGGCAGGCAGCCACTCTGTGTTCTGCCCCAGCTTGCCCATCTACTTGAGGAGGGTAGAATGGGTGGGATACCATAGATGGGCCTGCTATGAAACGCAGTTAGATGATGTGCGTCTTTTTACATGCCCTTAATCTGACTTCCAAGAGAGCCCACTGGGCTCATGGTTGCTTTTTGTTCTTAAAAACTATTTCCAAAAGTATCCATTGAAGTAAAAATCTATCATTCTGGGTTCCATCTTCACCTGTTAATGTTGTTGTGTGCCATCGAGTCGATTTCGACTCATAGTGACCCTACTGTTAACAGTGATTTGTAAACTGAATTTTGATAAAACTTGAGGAAAGTGTCCTTGTTTTTTAGATGATCATAGAATGGGCTGGAGCCCTTCAAGCAGAATAGCTGCCACTGCTCCACTGGCAAAAGGCTCTCGTCTACTCCTGTGACCTGTCACAAAATGCAGACGCTACTAGATGTTTTCACACCCTGTGAGGTACTTTTTATTGTGTTCAGATTGAGGATCCAGTACAAGCCTTGGTTTGCTAGAGGTTTAAAAACAAGTCTGTTTATTTAGTAGAAAATAATTCCTGTGGAGACAGTACATTCCAGACCATTATTTTAGGGCTTTAGTGCCCAGGCATTTCACAACTTCTAATAGATGCTGACTTTCAGGCGCCATAGCTAAGTGCTAGGACATGAACGAAGAAATCTCCTGACCTCAGTACACTGAATGTCAAAGTACTTTAAGCCCCTTGGACAAGGTAGGAGATAAAGAAGGCAAGAAGGAAGTGGCTGGGGGCATAGTCACTGTGCCCCAGTGGCAAAAATGTCAAAGGTGGTTTGCATGAATGTGACAAAAGTGGTTATGACAAAATTCTACTTTGCATTAAATGGGATCGGTCTTGCCTACCTTGCCTATAGGACTTCCCTTTACCACAGAGCATTTTATACTCTGAGACGAAAGATCTTCTGAAAGCAAGTTTCAGCAAGAAGGTGGAAAGGCCTCTCAGGAAGAAGGCGGAGCTGGCAAAGTCATTGGGGAGCTCCAAGGCACTTGGAAACCATTCACAGTAAGAACACATGGAGCCTTCTTACTGGCAAGAAAGCTGGGGAGGTTGAAGGTGTTTTTGGATGCAAGGATCAGTTAGGACCCAACACTCAAACAGAGAAGATACAAGAAGTGGAAGCTGGAGTAGTTTGCCTGTCAGAAGGAATGGGGAAAAATAGCTTCTGGGAGCAGGAACAGGCAAAGACGAGTTGACTGCCAGTTGCATTCTGCCTCCTAGAGAAGACTCTTGGTAGATCTGAGGCCATCTTTGTCACCTTGGCCAAACCCAGCTCATCAAGAAGCTGGGCATTGAAGTAAACGACTTCTTTGGCTCAGCAGACATCTTCCCTGGTCAGTAGGTTGTCCAATGGCTGCATTGAGGCTACCAACAACCCACCAAACAGTCCTTTCAGCATCCCCTACGTGGCCACAATAACAAAAGCACCTTCTATGGCCAAATGATCCAAGCTTTACTCCCATGGGTCCCTGGACACCTTAACCAGATGGCACTAAGAAGTGGCTACTATGGGATAGGGGCAGAGGACAGATACCAGCTAGGGCTCATGGCTCCAGGGAATGCTTAGGGTAAAGGAAGCAGATGCTGGCTCCCCACCTCAACTTCTGGCCATTCCAGACCATCACCACAACTCACTAGGCCCACTGAACCCAAATAAGGGTTTTTATGGGAAGATGTCTTCCTTCCTAGATATTAACATTTGAGTGCTTACTTAACTATTTTTTAGTGTCTCATCAAGACCTGGTCTCATTCCGTGATCCCCGAATTGCTCCAAACCCTTCTGTACCTTATGATTGTCCATGTGCCCAGCATGCCATGGCCCTGCTCAGCTTTTTGGAGCACAGGAACTATAGTAATCATGGGCTCCTGCTTCTTCCTGAGGCAGGTAGTGACGGCTTGAGCAGGAGGTGCTGAGCTCTTTCTGTGGTTCCTGAGTCCAGGAGAAATTGTTCTGATTCCCATTTGGTAGAAAAAGAACAAACCATCTTCCCTAAAATTTGTATACAGCTCAATCATTTCTGGGACTGTAAAGACACTATTCTTTATGCTATTATTTTCTAAAGTGACCATTTACAAAGCACATAAAATCATAGGTCTAACTTAGAAACATTTTAAGTCTGATATATTTTCCCCATCATGGGGGGGGTCAGGTGGTGTATTCATACTGGGGAGTGCTCTTAGGAACAATGTGAGTCCCTGGGTGGTGCAAAGGTGAGCAGTTCAAGTCCATCCAGAGGCACCACAAAAGAAGGTCTGGAGATCTACTTCCAAAAATACAGCCATTGAAAAACCCTATGGAGCACAGTTCAATTCTGATGCACATGGGGCCGCCATGAGTCAGAATCATCTCAATGGCCTCAGCCAATCCTACAGGGATTCTGAAGTTGGGACGGCTACTTAGATGCCTGAATTGAGGCAAGGAGGCATGGCTTTTGTACCCCTCACCCCCTGCATGTGCTGCCCCTGGAGAGGGAGCGTCACCTTGGGTGAGGCAGCTCCCCTCTGAGGGCATTTCTTGGAGAGGACTTCAGTTGGGGGGAAGAGTGTCTGGCTTCTAAATAAGGGTCTCTGGGCAGCACACCACAGCAGCCACTATCCTCCTCATCAGCCCACCAATAATAAAAGGCCAACATTATTTAAAATTATTTATTTCTTTTCTATAGTACATCTCAATCAAGTCATAGAACAGTCTGATGCATTTTTTCTCAAGCACAATTACACTCATTTCAGATGCTTTTTCTTTCTTCTTTCAATCTTACAGGATGGACAAAGATACTCACACTTTACTGGACCAAAGGAAAAAAAAAATCACTCGGTAAATTTATTGAAAACACAAGCTTCCCAGGCTCCACCCCAGGGCATCTGATTGCATGTCTGGGGCGTGGGGGCCTGGAAATGCCCCCGTCAATTCTGCTGCAGGTGGTACCTGACCCACCATTAGAGAAACATTGCTTAGGCCTTGTCCGTTATCTACTGGAAGCAATTTCAGAAAATCTGGGAATAATTAAGTATACAGAAATAGCTCTTCTATAAAATTTCCATATAAAAATAATGGTATTTATTTACAAAGTTTGAGATACTACAAAATAATATATCGTATTAGGTTAGGTACTTCAATCTTAGAGAGGAACGTCTGCTTTAGGCAAGTCAGATGTGGTGTTTGCATCCCCTCCCCCTTATTTCTCTTGTTTAAACTGTATAAAGCATGGGTTGCCATGATGTTTTCTTCATGCAGAAAAAAGCAGAACTATATTTTCTGGAAATAAAAACTAACAGCTCATGATCAGAGCAAAACATCTCCAAATGAAAAGGTGCGCTAACTGGTGATCTGGGCTCATAGCCTTTTCTCCCCCCTTTCCTTTCCTTGATTTTTTGTCCAAAAGTCAAGTGCAGTGGTGTTGAACAAAATACCTGAAGGAACTCACAGTACTGAAGACTGCTCTTCAGAGCCCAGGCCTCCTGAGCAGCTAGTGCACTTGGCTAGTTGGCCATTCCATTTTTCATGACACTGAAAGGGTGAACTCGTCCTGGTACCACTGGGAAAAATAGAACTTCAATGTGCTCAGAGAAGCTTTTTAGTGGAAAAGTGACTGGGCCTTCAGGGATCTCTTAGCATGAAAACAATCTTTAACCCCAGTTGTGAACAAGCAAAATCATGAGGCTATTTGCTATTAGATGGTGCCCATCATGTTGACAATAAAGCAAGGCAGGTGACAATGATGAAGCAGGACACAGTGTTGGGTTTTAAGGCCCACAAACGGCCTTGGTAAGTAAGTCTCCCTGTTGAGACAGACATGGACGGAAAAAGCTAATGGGCTACAGAGGGCCTGTTGGTAACCTAACCGCTTAAGACCCCTACCAATGTGAATGACAATCTTTGCCGGTGGAGGAATGATTTTCTTCCCAGGTGTGACTGTCTAAACCCGGGTCTCCTGAGTTGGGAAAGGCCTCAAACTGACACCACAGTCTCACACTGGGACTCAGGAGAGGCGGAGTCCCACTTCTGCTCCCCAGCTATTTGGCACTTGGAGTGACAGAGGACTGATACAAAGCCAACAGCCATCTGGAAGGATTTGGAGAGGGTGTGGTTTTCAGAAGGCAATGTGGCCCTCGTTGGAAGAAATTCAGGGTTTTGGTACAGGCTCTGCCACAGATAAGCTGAGGGCCCTTGGGCAAGCCATGCTCTCCACTCGTACCTCATCTCTAATAAGGGTTTGAAGAGCTGATCTCTCCAACCTGAGATCCTTGGTGGAGAACAGGCAGGCCAATACCTCTCTATGGTTCAGCTGCCATGCTTCCAATCCAGCTATGAGCAGGGAGGACCAAAGTCCAATCTGCTGGAGTAGCAAGTGGTCAAGACAGCACTGGATTCTATAAGTCTTTTTCTAAAGCAAAGGCTTTGTAAGAATGAATGATACAGGATCAACCTGCCTAAGACAACAGCTGCGCAGAATACACCTACTGGATGAACACACTTTCTCCTGTGTCGATACGATGGTGAATGGATGAGGCTGCTATCATATAGGCATACTGTTCCTGTCAGGGACTCCTAAAGCACAACCAGGTGAAACTTTAGTGTCCCTTTCGGGAGTATGAGTGTAGACGTATGTGGGAAAGTTGCATCCCAGAGATTATCTATGTATAACTTCAGGGATATCTTGGTTACATAAAGGGGCTGTTACCTGAGAAATGTTATAGTTTATGTGGGCATTTAGCTTGAATATTTTCTTAAAAGGTAAAATCTTAAGCAAAAAAAAAAATCAAGCTTTTTCTTTTTGAGCAACAGTGTTTGGGTTGAGTGAAAGTTAAACCGACAGCAAGTGACACTTTAGCATTTCCCTAGCACCTAGGTTATTCACCATCGTATGCACTGCATGTTAGGGGGCGGGGAGGCCCACTGCGGAGTCACTTGAATGGCATGGTGCAGGCTTCTGGGGCAGTGTACAATATACATCATGAGTGCTTGGGACCACTACTTTGGGTGCATGAGAATGGGGACTTCTTCTGGGAAAGTGGTCCTTGGGTAGTCATCAGTTTCACCAAAGCCAGCCCATGTGCAGAATAAAAGTAGACCATCTTTTCTGTATCCAACACAAAAGGCAGATATTTTTATGTATCCAACAACTTGGAGAACTATGAGAAAACGTAGAAGAGTTCTCCATTTCAAATCACTTTTCTACTGTATAAGTTCAATTGTCAAGTAACAAAGGCAATAATCAGAAGCTCATGGGTTAGTCAGAATCTTCCTTTGGTTTATGGATACTGCTGGTAGATACTTTTGGTTTTCTTTTAAATCTCAAAAGTTCCTTAACAACAAAAAGATCCCGAGGGCCCCTTTGCAGTCAATAGTCACCATCAGTGACAATGTCTATTTTCATTTCTATTACTAAATAGTAGTTTTGTCTATTCTTGAATTTTGTTTAAATAAAATTGCACAGTTATGTAAAAAAAGAAAAAAAAGTTCCTTAACCAAACCCAAAATGCATGCTTAAAACTGGAACAGTGGGGTCTTCAGAATTTAGTAGTGATCCCAAGCACATGTTATGGGTAGTGTGGTGGAAGATAGCTATAGAGGTGTTTATCTTTCAACTGGCTGATTCAGGACTTTCTCAGAGGGGCCCGCCCAGGCCACCCCAGCTATAGTAGCTTGCCTCCACTGCCTCACTGCCCGGTTGCTGGTTTTTTCTGTAGCACTGATGATTCTGAATGTTTTCTTTGTGATCGTCTGTTTTCCGTAAAACGCTGAGTTCTATGAGGGCAGGGCCGTCTGTCCCTGTTCCGTCCCAGTGCCTAACAGATGCTAAAGTACTTATTGCATGAAGGAATACACATTACATTCACTGTCTAACCCCCACCCGATATGGACCACTAAGATGGCAGTTCTAAAGTCTACCTCATTGAGTTGTTGCGTAGGGATGATCCATTTTGTTACTTATTTTATATGCCTGAGGGGAGCTTGACAGGTATTAAAGGGTCCTGAAGCGAATGTTTTCTGAAGTTAAATAGGCTTCTCTCTCGCATTCTCTGTGTGGTTGTGGTAGAAAAAGCTGAGGCAGTCCCCGTCCTCTGCTACGAGGATAACACTAACATGCCCCCACCCCATGGTGTCCTGACTGTACCAGGGACCCAGGCCACATCTATACCTGTTGTCTGTCTCTACCACTCAAATAGCCAGAGTTGTGGTTTAGCAAAGAGCAGAGTTATAGATGTCTGCACGGCTAAACTGAGTCACTGCTTCATGAAATGCATCCATGTGAAGTATCTGATAAAGGCTGACTTGTTTCTGAGGTCTGCCATTATTGTCAAGTATGGCAGAGTACAGTTACAACTGTAAATCTGCTAATGGGGGGAGCTGCCCTCTTTCACCCTGGTAAGATGGCAGCACCCGCAGAGACTTTTCTCCCCAGCGCTTCCGTAAAGAATTCAATGGAAGGAAGCAAAACGGTTTTGTGGTCGTGATTCGTGAAGTTTTCCAGGACAGTGGGCAGCGCTGAGAGGTGAAGAGCCAGTACATCAGCACCTCCTCTCTACCCCTCCCCAAGGTCCTCCGTGACCATAAGGCACAGTTCATACCAGCGCTCACTGAACAGCTCGGCACCACCTGGACATGAAAGTTTAAGGGGATGAGAGAGTGACAGTGGAGAAGGGCGAGGGGAAGCCTGGGTAGGTGCCTTCTCACTTGCCCCTGGCAGCCTTCAGCACTGCCGAGCCCTGGCAGCATTGCCTCTGCACATGAGGGTCAAACAGGACTGCCGGGAGCCTCCCGCATGTGCTCAGCAGGCAGCAAGTTACTGACTGAACAACACTCTGCGCTTGAAAGTCAGCCACCAAGCTGACTCCCAAGGGGAAAAGGCCTGGCTAACTCCCCAAAAGCAGAGTGTGGCCTGCACCCTTCTGGAATGGTGATCTGTGTGCGTGCACATATCCCAGGGTGTTATTCCTATAAGGAAGGCTTGATGTTGTCACCAACAATTTCCTAACATCTTTTCCACCTTAATTCCTATATGAAAACTGACACTGTGCTGAACTTTAGACCCAGGTAAATACGGGGAGATAAAGAAGAAGAATGGAATGTAGCTTTCTGAACGTCTCAACCTCGTTTTTTTCCTTAGGTCAGGTTTTATACCAGCCACAGGTACTGGGGACCACAGTGTGTCCTCACAGTAACCCAAACGCATTACAGGGGAAATGGAGGCCATTTCCAGTGAGACACAACCATCTGTGGCTGGGAGAGCCAATGAAGCGCCACCAGTAAGGATAAGAGGCTTTGGCTGCTTTTATAAAGCCCATCCCATATTTTAGCAATTTAAAGCACTACGGCAGCAGAGATGGGGAGAGCACAGAAGCGGGCAGTTTCCCAAGAACTCAACGTGGATTTTGCTATTTGGTTGTAACTAACGTACCTGTCCTGAATGTGGAAATGTATCTTGGGACGTGTGACACACTATTCTGAAGGCTAAAAAACTAGCTATGCCCATGAGCTTCTCTGGACCTTCCTGAAGTTCAGGGACAAGAAGGGCTGGACTCAGCAAAGGAGCAGGCAGCCCGTTAAAAGATGGTTTGGAGGAAACAGTTTGACCTGACGTGCACGGCTGGCAGTTTCCCAGTCAGAAATGTCTCCTATCAGCCCATGGGGACTCGCCGCAGCCCCTGCAGTGACTGACTCCTCCCGCCTGACCTGTCAGGGAGGTGTGCTCCGGAAGTCACCTAAACCAGAATTCTCTAAAAACTGCCTCTAGCTCTCTGCCCCCCCGTGAAGACTGAGTGAGCCTGCGCTAATGGCTTATTCCTGACAGAATGAGAGCTTTGATTCAAAGGAGCTTAAGCTAAAGTTCTATGTTCTTGTTTATCAGTGTTTCTAACCTTAATAAAAACTTTAGGCCAGCCAAAGCATCTACCTCCAGCTCTGTGGAAGCACAGTGGCAGAGCTTTGACAAGGTGTCACAGGAGAGAGCCTGCGCCTCCCCCATGGGATTGAGAGGAGGGTCGGTTTGGATGGAGCTCGGTGCTGAGCTCATGGGTGCTAGATGCATAATCAAGGAACCCCAAATCATTCCAGGCAAAGCTTTAGAGTTAGTCTTTCCATTACATTCTGGTCAAAGCTTTAGAGTTAATTTGCCATTATGATTTTGCTCTTTTCAAGACCTTAATGTGAAATTAATTGTAAACTGATATCTACTCATGGAAGTTATACCCTTAATTTTTTTTTTAAATTCAAAATAATTTCTTTAAATTTACAAAATATTATTGGGACTCACACTCATTTTCCCCTGTGACTATTACATGTGCCCAATGCCTTTAACACGTCACAGTTTAACCGATTCCTTGTTGGGCCATGATGGCGGATGTCCCCACACCATCTACTCAGAGGGGCAGTAACTGTGAACACACCAGTGCAGGATTACTAACAGCATCTTTGGCTAAAAAACAACATGCTGTATACTACCTTACTATAAATCAAATCATCTGGAGTGTTCAGCGTTTTTCAATGTTTCTATGAAACACTGAATAGTGGGTTAGTTTGAAATGCAGTTTACCCAGGAATAAACCCAACAGAGTAATTTTCATTAATGAAAATGTACAAAACGTGACATGGTAACACTGTTGTTCATATTCTTGAATAGACTTTTAAGACAGAAGTAATGACACTTGGTTCAGTTTCACAAATTGCACACTGAGTGAAATCATAAAATTACTGCAGGGAACTGTAGGCAAGCAATTCGATCATAAGGATTTCTTTGTTTTCTTTTAAATGAAAAAGCTGTATGAAATGCATGATTAAAACTATAGATACAGTCTCCTTCCCTGTAAAATTCCAGGTTTAGAATGCTGGCAGAAGGCAGTGTTGGCAAAGTATTTAATGCACGTGGAAATGCTATTCTATTTTGGCTTCCAGAAATAGCCCTAGTATAGTCTATGCACCAATGCATTGGCTAATAACGATAATTTCAGTTTTACTATAAATTATTCTAAATCTCACTTAAGTACTTAAGAATTAGCACTCGCTCCTTTCTAGAAGCTGTCTAAGGCAGCTGATGCATAAAGCACCTCAACTGGACTTCCCACTAGTTCAGCAGTTCAATCTGTGCTCCTTAGGCCACAAGGATTGTCCATTTACATCCCTCATGTACAGCTCCCCCTACTGGAACTTTTCATGTTTATTTCCGCCTTGTAAAAGGTAGCCCAGGCTAGAGAGAAACACGAGAAGCATGATCGCCAAGACTATTCCTTGTAGCAATCTCAATTTCAAGAATTCTGTGGGTATGGAGGCACACAAAGATCCCACCCCATGGAAGATAGATGAGCTTCATTCACGCTGCCCATTCTTCAGGGACTGGGCCTCATCTATCACCTCAGAAAACATGCTTTGTTTACGACGTGACCTATTGCTCTGCTGGTCAGTTTTCATTCATGCTATGTTCACTTTCATCTCAATTATCTTAGCCTTCACGTGATTTGCTTATTGTGTTTCTCTAGTTTTCACTGAACACACAGTGCAAACAAAGGCAAAGCCGGAAGCAATCATTTCAAAAACAACAGCTCACACTAAAAACACACATGAGCATCAAATAACAAAAGGTAGATTTTCTCCTGTCTTTATTCTGGGGAGGAAGAATCCTCCTCCTCATCGTCTTCGTCTTCGTCGTTGAACGAACAGGGGGTCTCGCCTCGGGACTCAGAGCAGTGAGAGGCCGCACTGCTGGACTGGTGACTGTTTGGGGCAAGGAGCTGCCCGGTTGCTAAGGCCACTTCAGCATCCAAGCATAACCCTTGGTTTACACTAGCAAACAATTAAAACACACAGGCTCATTAATGCGGTATATGCTTTAAGCTTTGTAAAACACGGGAATAAAAACACAGAAGGTGGTGCCACTGGCACAATCAGCCACGAATCTGCTGAGGGCCCAGGCCAGCAGTCAGCTGGCACTGGCTGCCCCTTCAGAGGGTCAGGGCTTCGTGGTTTGCTCTTTAACCTTGAAAAAATACGTACCTTGATTGGGTTACGGTGGCACCAGTGGTCAGGTCTAAATTTGAAACTGACTGGGTAGGGTTCAAAAGTAGTCCTTGATTTAGCCAAGAAGGTCCTGTGGAGATATCTACAGGAAGAAAACAAAAAGGAAAATGTAGGCTCTGTAAGTTCTGTGGCTGTTGTTGCAGTCTGAAGAAAGCGCAGAAAAGTGCGGAGATAAGCCTGTTCTTAACCACAGCCATGCACTCTCCTGCCCTGGGAAGAACCCAGGCTTTCCATCTTCTTGGAAGAAAACTTTTCTAGGCTGTAAGTGCAGAAAAAAAAATGGTGGGGGGGGCGGGAAATAGGGAAAAAGAATTTAAATAAAAACAATCACAGATTCATTCTTTTTTCTTAAATAAGGCCTGCAGAAAGCAAGCTCAGAGCACTGCTTACTGGGCACAGTGATCACAGAACCAACCCTGGATACCTGCTGGCCTTACCAGAAAAGACCTTGGCTGTGGTGGTAACAGCCAAAGCCAGGAGTGGGTGAAGAGAAAGTTAAATCAGAAATACCTTAGGTAAGAGGAACACACTGATACACTTTTGCCAAAACCTCCACTGTACCGGCTTTTCAAATACCCACAGGTGAACTCAGTCCTCTTACTCGTCAAAGATTTATTCTTTTCCTGGCAAGGTTCTTCCTGGTGTCCTTTGCTTTATAGTTCAAACTAGCCCTTATTTTATTTTATTTATTATTTTTTTAATAATTTGTTTTTTTGTTGATGTTGAAAACATGCACAGTAAAACATACATCAATTCAACAGTTTCTACATATACAATTCAGTGATACTGATTACATCCTTCAAGTTGGGCAACCATTCTCATCCTCTTTTTCCAAATTATGCCACCATTAACATAAACTCACTATCCCGTAAGCTTCCTATCTAATTGTTTGAGTTACTGTTGTCAATTTGATCCCATGTAGACAATTCTTTAAAAGGTCACAGGCAATCAATGCTTTTAATGAGGGTGACACAGACATTACTAGAAACTATCATGTTTTAGTCTACATAAAATACTTTGAGTACATCCTTCCAATCTTATTTTCTGTGCATATACCGTATTTCTCCTATTACAACCCTGATCAATTTTTATCGTAATTACTTGTTTAATATTTGTCTCCCCATCCACAATGTTAAAGGCGGCAGTGACTGGAACATAAGATCTAAGTCAATGTTACTCAGTGAATGAACAGACAGTACTCTGGACAGTTTACAAAATAGGTGGTATATATTCACATTAGAAAATTAGAACAAGTCCACAAGAGCCAAAATATCACCTTGAGTATATCCCACCTAAATTTAGAGGCCATCTCAAGAATAGATTTGATGCACTGAATACTAATAACTGAAGACCAGACGACTTGTGGAATCACATCAAGGATGTTATACATGAGAAAGCAAAAGGTCATTAAAAAGACAGGGAAGAAAGAAAAGAACAAAATGGATGTCAGAAGAGATTCTGAAACTTGCTCTTGAATGTCAAGTAGCTAAAGTGAATGGAAGAAATGATGACGTAAAAGAGCTTAACAGAAGATTTCAAACGGTGGCTCAAGAAGACAAAGTAAAGTATTATGATGAAACATGCAAAGACCCGGAGTTAGAAAACCAAAAGGGAAGAACTCCCTCGGCATTTCTCAAGCTGAAAGAACTGAAGAAAAAAAATTTAACCTTCAAGTTGCAATTTTGAAGGATTCTATGGGCAAAATACTGAAAGACGCAGGAAGCATCAAAAGAAGATGGACGGAATACACAGAGTCACTGTACCAAAAAGAATTAGTTGACGTTCAACCATTTCAGAAGGTAGAAGACGATCAAGAACCGATGGTACTAAAGGAAGGAGTCCAAGCTGCACTGAAGGCCCTGGTGAAAAACGAGGCTCCAGGAATAGTAACTGAGATGTTTCAACAAACGGATGCAGCAATGGAAGTGCTCACTTGTCTATGCCAAGAAATTTGGAACACTGCTACCTGGTCAACCAACTGGAAGAGATCCATATTTGTGCCCATTGCAAAGAAAGGTGATCCAAAAGACTGTGGAAACTATTGAACAATATCGTTAATATCACGTAAGTAATATTTTGCTGACGATCATTCAAAAGCAGCTGCAGCAATACATCAACAGGGAACTGCCAGAAATTCAAGCTGGATTCAGAAGAGGATGCAGAACAAGGGATATCATTGCTAATGTCAGATGGATTCTGGCTGAAAGCAGAGAATACCAGAAAGATGTTTACCTGTCTTTTATTGACTATGCAAAGACAATCGACTGTGTGGATCATAACAAATTATGGATAACATTGCAAAGAATGGGAATTCCAGAACACTTAATTGTGTTCAGGAGAAACCTGTACACAGATCAAGAGGTAGTCATTTGAACAGAACAAGGGGATACTGTGTTCTTTAAAGTCAGGAAAGGTGTGCGTCAGGGTTGTATCCTTTCACCATACTTATTCAATCTGTATGCTGAGCAAATAATCTGAGAAGCTGGACTATATGAAGAATGCAGTATCAGGATTGGGGGAAAACTTATTAACAGCCTGCAATAGGCAGATGGAACAACACTGCTTGCTGAAAGCCAAGAGGACTTGAAGCACATACGGATGAAGATCAAAGACCACAGCCTTCACTATTTATTGCACTTCAACATAAAGAAAACAAAAATCCTTACAACTGGACCAATAAGCAACACCATGATAAATGGAAAAGTACTGACATTGTCAAGGATTTCATTTTAGTTGGATCCACAATTAACGCCTATGGAAACAGCAGTCAAAATATCAAATGACATATTATATTGGGCAAATCTGCTGCAAAAGACCTCTTTAAAGTGTTCAAAAGTGAAGATGTCACTTTGAGGGCTAAGGTGACCCAAAGCACGGTATTTTTAGTCACCTCATATGCGTGCGAAAGCTGGACAATGAATAAGGAAGACTGATGAAGAACTGACACCTGTGAATTATGATGTTGGCAAAGAATGTTGAATATATCATGGACTGCCAGAAGAAACAACAAATCTGTCTTGAAAGAAGTATAGCCAGAATGCTCCTTAGAAGCGAGGATGGTGAGACTTCATCTCACGTACTTTCGACATGTTATCAGGAGGGACCAGTTCCTGGAGAAGGACATCATGCTTGGTAAAGAAAAGGGTCCGCGATAAAGAGGAAGTTAATCCGTGAGATGGACTGACACAGTGGGTGCAAAAATGGCCTCAAGCGTAACAATGATTGTGAGGATGGCCCAGGATCAAGCAGTGTTTCGTTCTGTTGTACACAGGGTTGCTGTTATGGATTGAATTGTGTCCCCCAGAAATGTGTGTCAACTTGGCTACGCCATGATTCCCAGTACTCTGAGGCTGTCCACCATTTTGTGATCTGATGCAATTATCCTATGTGTTATAAATCCTAACCTCTATGATGTAAATGAGGCAGGATTAGAGGCATTTATGTTAATGAGGCAGGACTCAATCTACAGGATTAGGCTGTATCTTGAGTCAATCTCTTTTGAGATATAAAAGAGATAACCGAGCAGTGAGGAGGGGGACCTCATGCCACCAAGAAAGAAGCATCAGGAGTGGAGCCTGTCCTTTGGACCCAGGGTCCCTGCCCTGAGAAGCAACTAGACCAGGGGAAGACTGATGACAAGGACCTTCCCCCAGAACTGACAGAGAAAGCCTTCCCCTGGAGCTGGTGCCTTGAATTTGGAATTCTAGCTTCCTAAACTGTGAGAGAATAAACTTCTGTTTGTTAAAGCCACCTGCTTGTCATATTTGTTTTAGCAGCAATAGATAACTAAGACCCTGCTGTCAAGTCGATTCGGACTCATAGTGACTCTACAGGACAGAGAAGAACTGCCCCGTAGGGTTTCCAAGGAGCGGGTGGTGGATTTGAACTGCTGACCTTCTCTGACTAGCAGTCTTAACTCTTAACCACTATGCCACCTGGCCTCCAGTAGCTAAGACAGTTGCTATGAATCAGAACAGACTTGAAGGCATCTAACAACAACAACAATACATTCACATTAGATATACATCTCTAACTCCTAAAAATTAAACACTTATGGTCATCAAAAGACTTCACCAAAAGAGTAAAAACAGAACTTACAGACTGGGAAAAAATTTTTTGTCTATGACATATCCAACAAGGGCCTAATCTCTGAAATCTACAAAATACATCAGTACCTCAAAAACAAAAAGAAACAATTCTATTAAAAAATGGGCAAAGGATATGAACAGACACTTCACCAAAGAAGACATTCAGCCAACTAGCAGACACACGAAGAAATGCTTACCATAATTAGCCACTAGAGAAATACAAATCAAAACTACAATGAGATATATCTCAGCTCGACAGTACAGGCACTAATAAAACAAACAAACAGAAAATAATGTTAGAGAGGTTGTGGGGAGACTGGAACTCTTACGCACTGCTAGTGAGAATGTAAAATGGTACAACCACTATGGCAAACAATATAGTGCCTCCTTAGAAAGCCAGAAATAGAAATACCATACAATCCAGCAATCCTACTCCTAGGACTATATCCTAGAGAAATAAGAACCATCATATGAACAGACATATGCATAGCCATGTTCACTGCGGCATTATTCACAATAGCAAAAAGATGAAAACTATCTAAGTGTCCATCAACAGACGAATGGATAAACAAATTATGGTACATACACACAATGGAATACTACACAATGATAAAGAACAATGATGAATCCACGAAATATCTCACAACATGGATGAATCTGGAGGGCATTATGCTGAGTGAAATAAGGCAATCACAAAAGGACAAATAATGTATGAGACCACTATTATAAAAACTCAAGAAAAGGTTTACACACAGAAAAAAGCAATCTTTTTTTTTTTTTCTCATTAAACAGTTAGTACACGTATTGTTTTATGACAGTGGTTAACAACCCCACGACATGTCAACACTCTCCCTTCTCTAACTTGGGCTCCCTATTACCAGCTTTCCTGTCCCCTCCTGCCTTCTAGTCCTTGTCCCTGGGCTGTTGTGCCCCATTAGTCTTGTTTTGTTTTATGGGGCTGTCTAATCTTTGGCTGAAGGGTAAACCTTGGGAGTGACTTCATTACTGAGTTAAAAGGGTGTCTGGGGGCCATCCTCTCGGGGTTTCTCCAGTCTCTGTCAGGCCAGTAGGTCTGGTCTTTTTTTGTGAGTTAGAATTTTGTTCTACATTTTTCTCCAGCTCTGTCTGGGACTCTCTGTTGTGATCCCTGCTACAGCAGTCAGTGGTGGTAGCCCGGCACCATCTAGCTGTACTGGATTCAGTCTGGTGGAGGCCTTGGTAGTTGTGGTCCATTAGTCCTCTGGACTATTCTTTCCCTTGTATCTTTTTTTCTTCATTATCCCATGGTCTCGAAGGGGTGAGACCAGTGGAGTATCTTAGATGGCTGCTCATAGGCTGAAAAAAGCAATCTTTGATGGTTACGAGGGAGGTGACGGGTGGGAAGGGTAAATCACTAACTAGAGAGTAGAAAAGTGTCAACTTTGGTGAAGGGAAAAACAACACACAACATAGGGGAAGTCAGCACAATTTGACCAAGGTAAAGTCACAGAAGCTTGCTAGACACATCCAAACACCTTGAAGGACCTAGTTGCTGGGACTGAGGGCTGGGGACCATCTAGGTCAACTGGCATAACGTACTTCATAAACAAAATGTTCTATATCCTACTTTTTTTTTTTAATATTTTATTGTACTTCAGGTGAAGGCTTACAGAACAAATAGTTTCTCATGAAACAGTAGTACACATGTTGTTTTATGACATTGGTTAACAACCCCACAACATTTTAACCCTCTAACATCTCAACCTTTTTTTTTTGGTGAAAATACACATAGCCAAAGATAACACCGTTTCAAAAATTTCTACATACACAGTTCAGTGACATTGACTACGCTCTTCCAATTGTGCTGTTATTCTCACTTAAGATGAAGGCTTACAGAACAAAATAGTTTCTCATTTAACAGTTACTACAAATGTTGCCCTATGACAATGGTTAACAGTCTCACAACACATCAACAATATCCTTACTCAACCTTGGGTTCCCTATCACCAGCTTCCTTGTCCCCTTCTACCTTCTGGCCCCTGTCACTGGACTCCTGTACCTCGTTAGTCTCATTTGGTTTTATGGGGCTGTCCACTCCCAGGCTGAACAGTGAGCCTCGGAGGTAACTTCACCACTGAGCTAAAAGGGTGTCTGGGGGACATACTCTCGGGGTTTCTCTAGTCTCCTTTAGGCCAGTAAATCTGGTCTTTTTTTTTGTGAGTTAGAATTATGTTCTACATCCTTCTCCAGCTCTGTCCAGAACCCTTGGTTGTGATCCTGGTCAGAGCAGTCAGTGGTGGTAGCTGGGCACCATCTAGATGTACTGGACTCAGTCCGGTGGAGGCCTTGGTGGCTGTGGACAATTAGTCCTTTGGACTAATCTTTTCCTTGTATCCTGTTCTCTTCATTCTCCCTTGCTCCTAAAGGGATGAGACCAGTGGAGTATCTTAATCTACATCCTACTTTTGCGAGTAGCATCTGGGGTCTTAAAAGTTTGCGAGCGGCTATCTAAGATACATCTATTGATCCCATACCATCCAGAGCAAAGGAGAATGAAGAAAATCAAAGACACAAGGAAAATATTAGCCCAAAGGACTAAAGGAGCACATGAACCACAGCCTCTACCAGCATGAGCCCGGCTATCATCACTGACTGCTCTGACAGGGATCACAATAGAGAGTTCTAGATGGAGTGGGAGAAAAATATATAAGAAAATTCAAATTGACAAAAAAAGACCAGACTGACTAGTCTGACAGAGACTGAAGGAATCCCCGAGACTGTGGCCCTTGGACACCCTGCTGATTCAGAACTGAAGCTACTCCCAAAGCCCACTTTTCACACAAAGATTAGACAGGCCTATAAGACAAACAATAACATACACGAGGAACGTGCTTCTTAGTTCAACTAAATATATGAGACCAAATGGGCAACTCCTGTCCAAAAGCAAGACGAGAAAGCAGGAAGGGACAGGAAAACCAGATGAAGGACACTGGGAACTTGGGGTGGAAAGGGGGAGAGGGCTGACACATTACAGGGACTGCAACCAATGTCACAAAACAATTTGTGTATAAATTTTTGATTGAAACTACCTGGCACTGTAAACTTTCACCTAAAGCACAATAAAATTATTTAGAAGAAAAAAAAAAGAAATCCATCCCTAAAACGAAAATCTTTGACTTAAATTGTACGGTAAGACCAAATGTATACTCAGAAAATGTAGTTTACCAAAAGGAGGTTTTATTTTATTTAGTTAAAATATTTTTATAATTATTGTACAAAAAATAGAATAATGTGTGATGAGACTGGAAACTATGCCATTCTGTCCCTTTATACACTAAAGGCACGTTTCTTCCTTTGAACTAATGAGAAAGTCTGTATCCCCCTCAGCAAATGAGGTCACCAAGAGATCAAAACCGCAGAGCCTGCCTATTTGCCCTGAGCCTTTTTACTGAGAATAAGCTAAGACAAAGTGATTTACGAGTAAGCCTTTATTTGGACCCTGCTGGAATGCCCGTCTGACTAGGCTGCTAACGAAACAGCAGACCCACTCGGAGAGAATGTGCGGTGCATGCGGCAGGCTGGATACAGGACGGGGGTGGCTGAGGAGCAGAGGAGCACGGGTCGCACTGCTGGAGACAATGTTGTCAATTTAGGAACAAAATCAAACAGAAAGCAAACCTCAATCAAGAAACTCTTCTGTTGAAACCAAAGGACCAAAACCATAAAAGTGACCTGTCTGCTTATATTTGATTTACTATATCTTAGAATTGATATTAAAATGTCTTTAAAAAGTGATGTCGAATTCTAGGTGGTAATACTTATGAATGAAGAAAACAGGAGAAAGTAAACGCAAAAGCATTATTGATACATCTATACTATATGGGTAAAATGGAACCTGGTGGCGCAGTGGTTAAGTGTTTGTCCGCTAACCAGAAGGTCGGCAGTTCAAATCTACCAGCCGCTCCTTGGAAACCCTCTGTGGCAGTTCTACTCTGTCCTATAGGGTCGCTATGAGTCAGAATGGACTCGACGGCAGTGGGTTTTGGGGGTCTTACCACTTTTCCATCACTCTCTATTAGGGGGAAATATTTTCGTTTTCCTTCTCTGATAGGCTTCTGTCTTCACAGGTTCTGGCTTTCGTAGGGCTTTACTGTATTCCACAAGAGCAGGATGTGGGAGGGTGGGCATGGGGGTGGTTCCTGCTTTCTTCCGAACTGCTCTAAGTTGCCCCTGAGGTGTCCACAGGGCACTAAGAGACAGGATGTCTAAAAACTCCTTCGTGAAGCTTTCACTAAAAGCTTACTCTACCCAGCCTCCATGCTAGTGCTGAGACAGATATAAAAAGGCGTTTCTGAAGTGTCAAATTTAGTGGTGAATCAGCCAATTTAGATGTATATAATGCATGTTATATACGTGTAAATTCAGAAAGAAACCCGAAACCCACGGCCGTCGAGTTGATTCTGAGTCCTAGTGACACTACAGGACAGAGTAGAACTGCCCCATAGGGTTTCCAAGGCTGTAAATCTTTTATGGAAGCAGACTGCCACATCTTTCTTCTATGGAGCAGCTGGTGGGTTGGAACTGCTGACCTTTCAGTTAGCAGCTGAGCGCCTTAACCACTGCGATACCAGGGCTCCAAATTCAGAATAGTATAAAAAATAATCTATTTAATCTAATTTTTTTGAAAAAAGGTCCTAAATGTATTATCTAAAGTATTAAAAGTCTCAATTTGGTGATGTAAGCAAGCACAGGCTTTTCAAAAATATCGCCGTTTTCCACGAGAAAGGTTTTAACAAGTTAGGGTTTGGCATTTAGTCGGAGGCGATATGTGAAAGCGGCCATTACCTGTGATGTAACCTTCTAGAGCCTTTGGCACCAGCGATTTAGCAAGCTTCAGGTCCTCCAGGGAGCATGCGCCTGACTCCAGGCCAAAGGACATTCCCATGCGCTTCAGCACTTCTATGTCATCGTGGATCTCAAAGGTGTTGTCAAAATTAAAAAGATATTCAAACCTGCAGCAGGAAACAAAGTTATAGGGGGTTTTACGTGGTATGGGGGTCTGAACAATTTGGCAGTATGTCAGATAAGAGACTGAGGGCCTAAGTTCAGCTACAGTACTGTTACCATTCAAGGCAATAAAGACCCACTCTGCTGTGTTCCGCGGAGACATCTCAAATAAACCACTCTCCCAATTAGAACAACTTTCCTGTGACAGACAACAGGAGCCCATCAACTTCAGCCCTCTTTAAGCTGCTGCAAACAGGAGGCAGATATTTTGTCTGGCAAAGGCCTTTCATTGTTCTAAATCCAGTAATTTTCAAAGCTACCTATAGCTTTGTCGTGAAAGACAGAATATTAAGACTTTCCCTGTTCCTTTCCAGTTTAATAAGTTTCTATCAGCTTTAACATTTTGGATGCTTCCTTCATTTTCATGAGCCAAATGTTAGCTCCAGAATACCTCAGATAAGCAATATATGGAAGACTTTTCCTTTGAGGTGTCCACACCCTCACAAACTAGTCAAGCCCCAAATCCTGTCTTCAGATCAAGTACCAAATCCAGATGCACGGCTGCCCAGCACAACCCTTCAATAAAGAGGCAAGCACAGGAAGATACAACCTGACCCTCAGGCTCCAGGGCACCCCTACCCAAGGGCCTCAGCCCTGCAGGGACAGAGTTCAGGTGAATGTTCTGGGACAGTGTTTTTCATGAAATTCACTGTATCAAAATCATGTGCAGGTGAAACTTTTTATGCTCGAAGCTGCTGCTGTTGTTGGGTGCCGTCGAGTTGATTCTCACACACAGTAACCCTACAGGACAGAGTAGAACTGCTCCATAGGGTTTTCGAAACTGTAATCTTTATGGGAGCAGATCACCAGGCCTTTTCTCCCACGGAGCCACTGGTGGGTTAGAACCACCAACCTTTCGGTTAGCAGCTGTGCATTTAACCATTGTTGACACCAGGGCTCCTTATGCTAGATTTTAGATCAAAGCAAAAATTATAATTTTAAGCAAAATGCCATATTTAAATCATCTGAAGCATGTAAATTTGAATAAAGTACATTAAAACATTTTCAGAAGCAAACAAAAAATCTGAAGTGGGTGCCTCTCACAGGGATGATTTCAGGCATATGTGAAAAGCAGATGGATTTGTACATTGAATCCTCATTGCGGGGAAACCTCCGGGCTAATTGAGGGGAAAAGAATGCATCACCAACATGACTGAAAGACTGGACGACAGGACCTACTTTCAGTAAGAAGCTTCTACAAGCTGTTCAAAGACTCCTTCCCACCACTTGGGGAGGTTCAGCAAAGGGTTTGAGTCAGTAACCACCCAGGGGACAGAAATCTTACCAGCTCTCAGCCTGGGTGGATAGAATCCATAATTCCCTTAGGTCAGTGGTCCCCAGACTTTAATGTTACTCCTTCTGAATTTAAAATAAAAGACTAACCTAAGGAGAGAATTTAGTAATTTCCCATAGAATAAGAGACTAAGGAGAGAGAGAAGCTAGAATTCTAACAGGTTTTTTTTTTTCCCCTGAAAATATCCTAACCATTCTCTAGAATTCTCAAGTTTTTTTTTCCCTGACACTATGTTAACATCCTTTTAGACATAGATGGTTGTGAAGAATTTGCATGTGTGTGAGTAATACCGACCACTGGGCTGGGTTCTTTATGAATTTATCTATAACCTTCATAAACCTGCAAAGTAAATATTGTAATTCTTATTTTTAGGGAGGAAGGCATGATATCTCAGAGAGGTTAAGGAACTCTGTATAGCTAGGGAAAAGATTGAAAAAACTGGGTCTGCTGACTTCATAGCCTGCACAGGCCCTACTATTTCTCCTTGTGTCTATAGTCTCGACTGAATAATTTTAGAAACTCCTGCTCACCATTTTTGTGTGTGTGTGCGTGTGCACATGTGCCTTCCTTAACTGACCCAGAATCTCTGAGACAGAGAGGGGACAGACAAGGGAACCACACTGCCAGGGAAAAGAGTGGAAAAAATAAGGAATGGTAAAGGCCAAGGGCAACATGGCTGCTGTGAGGAGATCAGAAGTTCTAGTCTTCCTGGGACAGTCCTGGGGTACCCCTGCTGTCCTAATGTAATTATCAATGCTTTCAAAAGTATCTTAATTTGGATGATAGAGTACATGCTGACCCCCGTAACAAAAGCTAACCTTTATAAAGCATTTGACTTGAGTCAGCCCCTCAACAAAGCTGGGATGTGATATAGGCCCTAGTAGACCCATTTAGTGTTGAGAAAATGCAGCTCTGGGGTGGTTAAGTAGAGGAGTAACCATCCTTACTTGGGTCTGTCACCCTCTCTCTGCACTCCACACCCTTAACTCTCTCATGATACTGGAAAGTCCCTGGTAGCAGCCTGAAGACCACTGATAAACTGTTATTATGAAGGGTAAAGTAAACTACAGATTAATTCTGTACTTCGAAAAAAGAAGTATTTCTCACTTGCTATGATGAAAATTACCATCAGTCTTAGCTGACAGATAAAGCAGAAAATGTGCCCAATATTTTCATGCCTGCTCATTCATTAATAAACAGAAGCACACTCAGCTACGATGTAGCAAAACAAATTGCTCACTGATGGTCTGAATTACTGCAGTTACTTGCCCAGAGTTACCATACACATACATGGCTTGGGCCCAGGCACCACTATGCATACAACAGCAGCAGCAGAGAGCCTGATTTGAGAAGGTGCTTCAAAGGCCCAAGGACACCAGCCTTGGAGGACTGCAGATAATGGAGTGTACCATTCTTTATTCTGCATGTGATGGGAATATGTGAACAGAAGGCCAGACCTGCACCCATCCCCTAATTTTCCACTCACTTGTCACTAGAGATGCTGCAATCTATGACTGTTTTTCTGCTTGTATTGATGATTATGAATGGTAGCTGAATGGTGGAGTTCAGAGCTGGAGGGCCCTGGTTCTGCTGTTCATTTTGTCGATTCCTCTGTACCAGGTTCTTGAAAGCTATTTGCTGTAATAATCAATAAGAATATGGTTATTTACTGTGGATAAATGAGTTGGAATTTAAATCAATTAAGACTGAGATACTTAGAATACAGTTTAAAATCACAGCATTTAAAGAGGCATCTCACCTACACTGATGAATCAATTTAAAAAATTAAACATTTAAGAAAAAAATTAGAATGCCCCAACTCTAATTATTTCAAAGAAAAAAAAAGTATACATTTAAATGGTATGTGACATCATCCCCCTGCAAACAATGGGCCCATGGTTTCCATCATCCACAGAAATAGGACCTCACAGATCTGGGAGAGAGCCCACCAAGTGGCACCTGTAGCTCTTCTTAGTGTGACTCAGCGAAAGGGACGCCAAGTGAGCTTATGTTTAACATTTATCTAACACAGACTCCTGAGAGCTTAGAGTCAAATGCACCTTTTAGATTGTCTAACTCAGAGGCTTGCAAACTTTTTAAAGCCACAAGACCCTTTCTTCGAATGAAATCTTACGGGCACACCCACAACATAACACAGAGGCAAGTGGCACTGCTCTATTGGGCTGTAGTAGACTGGGGGTCCTGAGCCCCGCCAGCTGTGCCCTCATTCACCCTCACAGTGGTTTCTGAGCCACCTCTGCAGAAATCCTCAACATACTTAAGCAAACTTTCTATGACAGTTTGGAATCCAGCCTTGCGCTGGGTTAGATAGTGTCCCCTAAAAATTCATGTCCTTCCTAGACTGTGACTTTATTTGGAAATAGGGTCATTGCATACTTGAGCTGGGTGGGTCCTAATCCAATATGACTGGTGTCCTTATAAGAAGAGATACAAAGAGAGACACAGAATGTAAACAGCATGTAAAGACGAGGGAGAGATTAGAATTACGCTGTCATAAACCAAGGAAGGCCTGGGGCTACCAGAAGCTGGAAGAGGCAAGGAAGGATTCTCCCTAGAGGCTTTGGAGGGAGCATGGCCCTGACAATACCTTGATTCAGGACTTCTGGCCTCTACAGCTGTGACAGAATGAATTTCTGTTGTTTTAAGCTACCCGGTTTGTGGTATATTGTTATGGCAGACATGAGAAATTAACACCCAGCCCACTTGTGCCCCACCCAAAATCTTCCAGATGAGGAAAATGAGTCTGAGAACTGATTATAAGGCCTAAATCTTTGTACTGAATCTTGCTGCTACTTTTAGTTACAACCATTACTCAAAAATCAAAAGTAACCCTCCTCTTTTTTTTTTTTTTTTTAAATAAGGCAAATGTATCATAAAATCCCACAGCTAGCAAGACCTTATTACTAAACAGTTTAAGCTTTTCATCTGCTAGCTCAGTAAACAGATACTGGTTTTAAAAAGCTCCTGAAGTCAGAGCCATTTGTTCTGGGTCTTAACTAATGTTTGATTAAGATTGTTATCTTAAAATAGTTGGGTGCTATCTCCCCAGAAAGTGAACATTTATGCTTTTAAAATGCACAAAGCAAAGAGGATAACCAATTTATTCTAGCCCTAACAGTGTGTCCAGATATCAGTTTCTTATTATAAGTTATAAGTCTTTGTTACCGTCTGCAACTAAAGAACTAAGGCTATTTATATTCATTGCTCAATTCATTTAATATCGAGGAAAAAAATATGCTGGAGCTGTAGAACTCAGAAAAAGAATTAAGTGTTTGAATACTTCTGCCCAGTTTGTCTTCTTTTCTACTAAAATAAGCCTCTTGGGAGCTGTTCCCATACTTTGTGGCCCCAGTGTCCTGGGAAGGCCTCAGTACACAGGCAACATGAACAGTGGTAAGTAACGGTCCTTTACAAATCACTGTTCAATATTATGTATACTTAATAGCATCAGAGATTTTTCAGGTGAAGACAGTAGTAAAAATATAAGTTTTCATAGTAAAAATAAAAATCTCTTCCTGTTTATTCTGGATGGATGTCCTTATTTGTTGATCTTTGATTGGTTTCCTGCAGCCTTTCGTTCTTTTCCAGGCTCATTAACATCGATTCCAAAAAATGGAACAGCTCCAGGTGTGTTCAGGAGCCCTGGTGGCGCAGTGGTTAAGAGCTTGGCTGCTAACCAAAAGGTCGACAGTTCAAATCCACCAGCTGCTCCTTGGAAACCCCATGGGGCAGGTCTACTCTGTCCTATAGGGTTGCTATGAGTTGGAACTGACTTGACAGCAACGGGTTTGGTTTTTGTTTTTTTCAGGTGTGTTCATACATTCACTTTGCTATGTATTAGCAGTTCTGAAGAACTTCTGATGCAATGACTAAGCACTCAGCTGCTAACTGAAAGGTTAGCAGTTCAAATCCACCAGCTGCTCCATTGGAGAAAATACCCAGTAATCTGCTCTTGTAAAGATTACAGCCTAGGAAACCCTACGGGACAGTTTTACTCTGTCATACAGAGTCACTGTGAGTCGGGATCGATTTGATGGCACACAGTAACAACAGGAGGAGGAAATGAGCTGTATGTCGACTAGAAGACTAGAAGCTGTTTCCAATCATAACTGGAGTTTCATTTTAATGTTCAGAGAGACCTGTTTCTGTCGATATTGACAGCTAGGTTTCCTCTGGCTGGAAATCTTTTATAAATATTTGGTTCAAGAGACAAAAGAGGATAAGAAATTCAGAACTTAAAAAACACAAATACAATGTTCACTGTACAAAGAGTAAACAATACAGATAAGCAGATAAAAATATTCAATTTATTCTTTGTGCTGGGCATCTAGAGATATGAAAGTCCCACATACATAAGAGTGTAAGAGTGATCTTGTCCAGCACCATTCTTCCCGATAAACAGAATACTGAGAGACAGATTTTTTACATGACATTTGCCAAAAATCAAGCTCCGAAGTATTCTATGAAGGTGTTGAGGAAATCCCAGTTAGTACTGGAGATAACCGTGCAGGAACAGGAACAACAGAGGCAGCTAAGGGAAGATGGCAGCATAAGAGTAAGTGGCAAGCCCTTGGCAGGCCAGGTCTCTCAGAAGACAGAATTCCACCAGGAGGAGCCCAGGAATAAACTGTCAGTCTTCAATTTTTTTCTGTAAGTTGCAGAATACTCTCTTCAAACGAAATCTTATTTGGAAACCCAGTATGAAAAATAAATAATGCCTCAGGTAGGTTCCACAGGGCTCACTGTGGAAACCAAACACAGAACACAGTAAGAAAGAAATGGCCTAACCAGGATCAAACATCATCCCTGGGCTTTCCTGTGTTTGGAAAGTCGCGGCTTTATCTGCTGATAATTCTCTGCCCCTGCCCTGTTTCCTTTCCTACTTCCTACTCTCAGATCATCCATAGTTCTTTGGAAGGGCCACGCTGTCTTCTCTTGCTCTCTGATTTACACATGACTGTGAAAAAAAGACACAAATAAAAGCAGCTAGAAAGGGAAAAACAAACACACCTGGAATATTTATGAGTACTTAACGTATTTTGCCCATTAGATATAGTGAGTATTGAAGGAAAAAACTAGTAAAAGATTCGGTAGTTTATTACTACCTTTATTTCTGAAGAGTTAGATCATGCCAAAAATTAAATAGGACCTAGATTTGTTCAAATAAAACTGGATTTTGTAATTGGTTATAAAAGGCTTTTCACATAAAGACATTTTGCTGAGAAAATCAAAAATCACTCACTTTACAAAGTTTATCTGATTGAATTGAAAATGGCCCAACTGTACTGCTCAGAGTGAATTTTTATACCAACTACAATTACCAAAAATAGAAAGGAAAAAGAAAAAAGTTAGTCCAACTACCCTGTGATTTCACATCACATGATTTTATACAAGAGCTCTATTATATTTTTTTAAAATCATCCGAATACTAGGCAGTTATCCAAAATAGTATAAATATAGGGACCCTTATTAAACTATAACATTTATTTTTCTTAAATGTATTTTAAGTTTTGGTGTTTCTACAACACTTATTGAATCATTTCATGTCATTCTGCCACTTACAGATATTCTTCAAGGGAAATAAGTTTAACAGGTGGATTTGATTACTCAAAGTGCCTAAATTTTAAACAGCCTTCCAACTTGATATTCCAAATAAGAGCTAAAATAAACAAAAAGACTCCTAACAGTTTATGGTCAGAATAAGAATCAAATATAAGTGTCACAAGTAGCCTGTTGCATAATGTAAGTCAAACACAGGGCAAGTGTGCTGTGGCAGGGCAGGGATGAGGTCCAGAAGGAACCATCCAAAAGGCAGAGCGTGTGGAGGGCAGTGTGCTTGGGTGCAGGGCAGGCTACCCTGATGTGGTCCCACCGGACACTACTCAGAGGTGCCACAAGTAGAAAGCACGCTGACCCTAAAAGCAAGTAGGTGGAGGAACAGAATATAGGCAGGGAGGTGATGAAAACCATCTCAGCATCTTTACCTGCAGGAGAAGTTCTTGCAGCTGAGCCCGCTTCTGCTTTATCCGTTCTATCCGCCTCTGCTTCTCTATCTTTAAAACATAGGTTACAAAATAATATCAGCATAGCTACAGTATAAAGTACAGCTCGCTGTTCAGGTCTGAGGTAGCAAGAGTTTTCCTCAGAGAAACTCAACCCATTTTAACCACTAACATCAAAAAAGGCAAATCACACCTTTTGGTGGGGTAAGGAAGCAGGCCAGACAGCAGAATGGTGGCAAGTGTCATCAGTAATAGATTCATCCACATAGTGAATACTTGGTGTCCACTGCCTGACGCTGTTTATTACTGAAGTTCTAATCAGAGTGATAGCTACCACTTCGTGCATACTTACTCTGTGTGCCAGCACTCAACAAAGTGCTTTACACACATTATCTTAATTCATCTTCACAAAAACCACATAAGGTAAGTACTATTGTTATCCATTTTGCACGTAAGGAAAAAGAGGCTTAGAGGGGTTAAGTAACTCAAGTTCACACAGCTAGTGAGTAGCAGGGCCAGGATTTGAAACTAAGCCATCTGGTTCCAGAGACCCTGTTATTAATTACTTCACTATATTATCCCTCCAAAAATGAGGCAACGTCTCCTGACAGGGAACACAACAGAGAGTCTCGGATAGAGCAGGAGAAAGGTGGGGTGCAGAACTCAAATTCTAGTAAGAAGACCAGACTTAATGATCTGACTGAGACTGGAGGGACCCTGGAAAGCATGACCCCTGGATTCTCTATCAGCCCAGAACTAAAAACAATTTCCAGGGCCAACTCTTCAGACAGGGATTAGACTGGACTGTGGGACATAAAGTGATACTCGTGAGGAGTGTGCCTCTTAGCTCAAGTAGATTGAAGAGACTAAACAGGCAGCTTCTGTCCGGAGGCACGATGGGAAGGCAGACAGGGTTAGGAGCTGGCTGAATGGACACGGAATCTGGGGTGGAAAGGAGGAGTGTGCTGTCATAGTATGGGGAGAGCAATTAGGGTCAAAAAGCAATGTATGTATAAATTTTTGTATGGGAAAAAATAAAAAAAACAAAAATGAGGCAACTTCTCACTTAAGGGCTTCATTAACTCTTAAACGAGCAGAGCTGCTAACACAGATATCTCACATATTTGATACACAATTTTTACTTGTAGTAAGTAACATGCTGTGGGACCTATTTCCTAGCTGCAAAGAATGCTGTTTTCTTCAATCTTTTCTAGAAGACAGACACTCTGGTCTGAATTTCCTTGCAGATGTATTCCTCATTGTCTCTTTGGGGAGAAGTCAATGACATCAAATAAGACCTTTTTCTTGTTTACTCCGACAGGTGATTCCTTATTTGCTCCCCATTACTCTAATCTGCACTGGGAGCTTCCTCTCACTCCTCCTCTAACCACTGCATACTTTAGCCCTAAATAACTCAGGGTTCACTGTAAAATCTGTGTGGTCTTCTAGATTTGTAGGGGTTTCCTCTTGCATCTGAAGCTCTGATAGGCCAAAAAGGCACTAAAATTTAAAAAAACAAAAAACAAAAAACCGAACCTGTTGCCTTCAAGTCGATTCTGACTCATAACAACCCTATAGGACAAAGCAGAACTGCCCCATAGGGTTTCTGAGGAGTGGCAGGTGGATTCATTCCAACTGCCAATCTTTTGGTTAGCAGCCAAGCTCTTTAATCACTGCGCCACCAGGGCTCCAAAAAGGCACTACCAGAAGCCAAACGAGTTTTCCTCGGCCACTACCTGCCCTTCACCCGCCACGTCCAAGCAGGCCAAGCTGCACTGATTCTATTTCTTAAACACCTCTCCAACCTCACTGCCACTGCCTTATCCCAGACCGTCACTGTGACTCACTCAACTTCTGTCTCTAATCTCCCCTGGACCACTTCTCTTCCCATTTTCCTGTTGGTTTAACTTCCAATCCACTAGCAAAGTGATTCTTTAAAACATATCTATCCCTCCCACCCCCCTGCTTTATAATTCATCAATAGTTTCCCATTATTTACAGGCTCAGGTCCCCACTGCTTAGCACTTGCAATCTATCCCCTTTCTCCATGCATGTACTCTGGACACACCCAGCTATGTACATGCTCTCTCATGCCTCTGCCTGGAAGGCCCTCCCTGCCCTTATGCACTTGGCAAACTCCTACTCTATCCCTCACGACTAAGTACAGGGATTATTTCTGGAAAATCCCTCCCTTATCTCCCTTTCCAGAAAATCTGTACATACTTCTTTCATCGGGGCGATCATACTTTCTGTAACTTCTTTTACCTTCTCTCCCCAGCTACGACAGGTCCTTGGGGTCAGAGATTTTGTCTTGTATACTCTTTGGCTAGGCACATGGTAGAAACTAATACATTTTTGCTTAATGAGTCTTTGGTATCAGTTTAATATTACTGGTAAAGTGATCTTCAAATTCCTTTCTATCACCAGAAGAAAGAAAAATGAGAAAAGGAAGACATTTCCACTCTGGCATACGGGTAACATTAATTCTGTAACTTCTGAATAATGTCTGGTTTTTCCCCCCATGTACAAGCATAATAATACCACATAATTTTTCATTTGCTGGAGGAAAAAGAGACTGGGAAGAACATGAAATCAACCTTAATTATCTTCAAAAGCTCAGTACTCCATTCATGGCCATGATAATAAAATTATCTCAAACTAATTTAGAAACGGTGTGCCAGGGCACATGCTCATTTCAGGAAGATTGTTCTATAATGCTTGAAGTTAACAAAATAAAATAATTTGTACACATAGCATCCCAAAATTCAAGTAAGTTGAGCATTCTATTCATTGTGATAAAGATGCAATAAAATGCTATTCTACTGTCACTGATTTCTAGTTAATTGCCTGACTTTCACAACATTTAGAAGATTGTATAACCAATGTACCTTAATCCTCTTTTTTTTTTTGATTCATACAGCAAGAATTTCATTAAATACATTTCTATTACATGATTCAGCAAAAAAAAAAAAAAAATTTAGTAGAATGCTCAGAATTAAATTAGAAAAATTAAAGACCTTATCTAAAAAACAGTAAAAATCAAATCTAAATAATATTCATTCATTACAGGCTTCTAAGGAAATGTTATTTTTAGAAGACTAAAGACAAAGCAAAAAATCTCTATTCCTTTAAAAGTTTTAAAAGAAATTCTTCCTAGTATTTATGAATTGACACGAAAACTTCATCACTTTTCACAGCAAATAGAATCAAATTATCATAGGACAGATTATATGATCTACCTTCAGGATGTTTTATCTCTGAAGAATTTTGTAAGCATCTTCACTATAAATTGAAATTTTTTTATTTTTTAAGTTCTTCTCAAGAAATACGGGTTCTTTAAAACATTATTCTCTAGTTAAAAATAAGAATTACAACAAATTCCAAAATGTCTTTAATTAGTAAAAATATCTAATGAAAAGCTGATTAAAAATATTCTTAAAAATTTTCATTCACCTTTTATAAATGATCTCTATCCTCCTCATTTGTTTTAAAAGAAAAAAGTTTTTTAACACTGAGAAATTGAGAATCCATATATGCATAGTTTGGTATGATATAATATTGTTATCAATTTAATATTAATCTAGTATATAACATTAAGAATAAAGAAGTTCAGGTTTAGTCCCGGATTTTCTATTATCTGACCTCAGGCACAACCTTGGGTAAGTCATTTCACTTCTAAGTTCCTCAGTTTCATCATTTAGAAAATAAACTGGTCAGACTATATTATCTAAAGCTCCTTCTAGTTCTAAAATTCTACAGAGTCTGCTAAAAAAAAAAATGACATAGTACTCCTAAGCAAAGAAGAGTTAGTATCATGTGGCTATATTTCTAAATTAAAATGCCTCTGGTGTAAAGTAATGCCAACTGCTATCTATAAACAGAAAACTCACTTACTTCCAGGTTTTGACATTCCTGAGCAGAGTTGGTAGGGAGGCCAATCCACTTGATTTCTTTTTTTTCCTTTGAAATTATGTTCATTGCCATTAGCACATTTAAAGCATCATAAACTCTTCGTCTAATATTCTTCTGATCATAAGCCTGCTAAAAATGTTTTTTTATTGAGTGATAATATTTAAGAGTTAAGATATTTGAATTAAAGCAGAATTTTCTTCTGTTTGTCAAAAAGCAAGATGATAACATAAGAGAAGAAACGTGTTCAAATTACAGAGAAATATTTAAACGGCAACACTTTATGTAAAACATTATTACAACTTTAAAAATTAGAAATTCAAATACAGTGTCTAAAAATTAATGAGTCTAGAGAAAAACAGAAACAACCTAAATATTTAACAGTAGGAGAAAGAGTATGTAGTCTATGATACATCACCCAATCAAATTTCATACAGCCATTGCAAATGGTTATAAATAATAACATGGATATTTTTATGATAAAATTTTAAATAAAGAAAGGAGATATATGTGATAATAACACGATTTCAAGTACATTAAAATTCACTGGAAGGAAAAATGGCAATACTGTTTTTTCCTTAAGTGTTTGTAATACTTTTATTACAACATGTGCTACACAAGGAGCCCTGGTGGTACAGTGGTTAAGCACTCGGCTGCCAACCGAAAGGTCGGTGGTTCTAATCCACCAGTCACTCTGTGGGAGAAAGATGTGGCAGTCTGCCTCTGTAAAGATTACAGTCTTGGAAACTCTATGAGGCAGTTCTAATCTGTCCTATAGGGTTGCTGTGAGTTGGAATCAACTCGATGGCAATGGGTTTGGTTTGGTTTATGCACTACACACAGCTCTATGAGGTAGGTAATATGATTGTCCTCATTTCGTGGGTAAGGAAACAAAAGTACAAAGAGAGCACTAGCAGCCAGCTATTTAAGGCATTTAAAGTGGAGAGTCTTCTTCTCATTTGCAAAATCAGATAAAATTACTGCATATTATACTTCAATGGTGGAAACTGCGGTGGTGCAGTGGTTCAGAGTTCGGCTGCTAACCAAAAGGTCAGCAGTTCAAATCCACCAGGTGCCCCTTAGAAACTCTATGGAGCAGTTCTCCCCTGTCCTATAGGGTCACTATGAGTTGGAATCAACTCGACGGCAATGGGTTTGGTTTTTTGGTTTTTATACTTCAGTGGTACAAATGTGAATCAAACTTGTACTTCTGTGCTACAACAGAATGGCCTCCATCCACAGACAACTCTTGGCTGGCTCCTTAACTTCCAATGGCTGTCATGGGGGCTATTTGCATGACATGGCAGCCATCTACTCCCCAAGACAACATAAGTTCTATGCTTAAATAACACTGGACTATCAAAAGGCTACACAATTGAACTATATTATCTTGGCTTCCAGAAAAATGTTTTCCACTTGTGCTGCAATATAAAGTCCTCAGGTTTCATCCAAAGACATTACAAGAAATGCCCCTATGAAACCTCTTACTGCTCCTTTATTTCAAGCAATAGAAAACCAGATTATGTGAAACTCTTCTCCTACAAAACCACTATGAAAATGTAATAAATATCCATTTACATGCGTAACTACAAGGAATTTCCCCAGGGAATAAAAAGGAAGATTGCAGGTGAGAGTAAGGAGAAGGAATGACTGGAAAGAGGGATGAAGGAAAATTCTAGGGTGATGGGATTGTTCTCTATCTTTATAGGTAGGGGTTTGGGCTATACAGGTTTATGCACTTGTCAAAACTCAATGAATGATTCACATATGATTTGTGCATTTCATTAAACTCAAATTTTACCTCAAAAGAAAAAAAAAGCCCATAAACAGAAACTGAACTCAAGTTAATGGAGTGATATGCACTTCCTGTGTATGTCTGAACTAAAGTTTTTAGGGATGATGTCTACAATTTATTAGAAAATTTATCAAAAAATAAGATTAATTAATGGATGGATAGATGGACAGATGTGTGATAAAGACAGGATAATAAAAGTTTAACTGTAGAATCTAAGTGGTGGGTATACGGGTGGTCACTTTAAAATTCTTTTAACTTAAAAAAATTTTATAATAAAATGTTGGGGAAAAAAATGAAGAATAAGTTGACAAGACAAAATGCTAAATAGGCACTGAAGCTTAGGTTACTAATGAGCCTTGCTACTAATAGTGAGGGGTTTGCACCACAGCAACTGCTTCACCAGAAGCTTGTTAGAAATGCAGAATCTCAGCATTACCCTGCAACTACAGAATCAGAATCTGCATTTGACCAAAATTTGCAGTATTTTTAAGCACATTAAAGTTTGAGAAACACTACTCTAAGATGTTTGCAGATTTTGGTAACCTATAAAACCCAAACCAAACCCATTGCTGTCGAGTCGATTCCGACTCAAAGTGACCCTATAGGACAGAGAAGAACTGCCTCATAGGGTTTCTAAGGTGTGGCTGGTGGATTCGAACTGCTGACCTTTCGGTTAGCAGCCAAGCTCTTAACCAGTGTGTCACCAGGGCTCCTACAGACTTGGTTTAACAGTTGTGGAGAGGTGGGGGCAAAACCTTGGATCGCATGGTTGGGGAGAGAGTACTTGGAATGGGATAGCCATACAGAGCTGTGATTCTCAAAGGGCAAATACAAAGGAAGGCCAAAGAAACCTACCTGTCTCTGATTGGGCTCTAAGTGGAAGTGGGGATAAATAGGAACAAAAAGATTTCCTTCTGAATTTTTAAACATAGTCTCTTGAGGACTAGGCATTTAAATTTCCACTACCTATATGCTCCTGGAGCCCTGGTGGCGCAACAGGTTTGTTTGTTGGGTATATGTTCCCGGAGACTATAAGCTGAAACATTAACACATAGAATGGTCCCTGGTAGGTAGTGCCCACCTACTGGCAGACACTAACAAAGCTCCTTTTGAGGGATATGCCCTCAATCCAAGCTACCCAGGATTCTCACAGATAAAACCCCACTGAACATGAGGTCACAATTCCAAACTATAAAATATAAAAATAAATAAGTCACTACAAATAAAACTCATTAGGGGAAACTCTAGCAGCATTGGATAACCAAGAAATTACGCAGTGGAATTAATACACACTGAACAAGAAATCAGTATGTTAAAATTTTAAGAATAAATGATGGGATGGAAATCATGAGAAAGAAATGAGATATATTAAAAACAGATCAGACAGATTTGGAGAAAGAACCAAACAGAACTTCTAGAAACAAAAACCTCAGTGAATGAGTTACACACCAGATTAGGCACAAATAAAGAAAATATAAGTGAACTGTAAGATTAACCAGAAGAAATTATCCAGAATGCAGCAGAGAGAAAACCAGATAAACAATATGAAAGAACAATTAAGAGATAGGAAAGATAAAATGAGAAGGATTAACCTTTTTCTAATCAGAATTTCAGAAAGGTGGATCAAGATCTCATCTCTCACCCAGACTGCCACATCCACCTCCTAATAAGCAATCTTGCCTAAAGTCTTGATCTCCAATCTGATTTCTACTCTGCGGTCAACATACATAGCTAATGTCATGTCCGTACTCCAATTCCCCAATGGTCCAGATCACCTTTAACAAAAAAATTCCTTTACAAACCTACTTTATAAACTGGCCCTTGCTTATCAACCCAGCTTTACTCCCAGCACTCCTCATTCCAACAATGCTAACCAACCTCCAACTTCCAAAACATAACAGGGTTTCTCACACCTCTGCTCTGAACAACTTCTTCCCATCTGGCAAAATTTTCTAAGTCTCTGCTCGCATGCCATCTCCTTTTCTCCTGGCAGAACTCAGTGCTCTGTCATGTTTTCCTACTGTGCTCTTTGTATACAGGTAGTCCTCAACCTACGATGCAGTTCCAACAACTCAGTCCTAAGTTGGTTCTGATGTAAGTCGAATACCTTTTTTTTTTTAAGTTTTCATAGCCTGCTATATAGCAGTGTTTTGAACAGTAAATCGTAACACTGGACATCTGCGAGTGAACATCTGAGAATGATAACATCAGCAAATTACGCATGGTAACGTGTGTATGTAGAACATATTACCAATGATAAGATATACAAAAAAAAAGCCAGATAGTTTTAAGTGTGGTTTGTTGTAATTCGAATACGTCATAAGTTGGGGACTACCTGTACTTTCCGGAGAGTATATACTTTCCCTTGATTTACTACATCTAATTGCATTTGAAAATATGTTTGTCTACTAGACTGCAAGGCTGTAATGGGAGGGACCTTTTTTTTTAAATTGTTTCTCTTTAATGCATAGAGTAATAATTATTTATTCAAACAGAAAGGTCCACAATGTATTACTGAAGCTAATAATGATAAAACAGATGATTTGTATGCATTATCTCATTTAATCCTCACAACAACCCATGATGTAGATAGTATTATTAAACCTGTTTACCAACAAGGAGACTGAGACTCAGAAGTTAAGTACTTTATCCAAAGTCACCTAGGTAGATTTAAACCCAGGTCTGTATGACTCCACAGTCTCCACTCTTACTTGCTTCCCTTATATGAATGCAATAATTTGATGAGATGGAGATTTCCACATTTTTATAGTAGAAAATATTATAATGGTAGATGAAATACCACTCTTTGGGTTAGGGTCTCAAGCTGGTATGCCTTAAAATAAGAGTGAGCCTGTAGACCATTTCAATTCAACTCAATCACTGATACTGAATTAAAGCATCCTTAACTGCTAATATCCTTGGCCATCTACATTAATCCTTTCTGAAAGAAGTTATCATATCCTAAGTCTCAAATTATTTCTACACATACATCTACAGGCAAAAGGCAAGAAGACAATGTGATTGAAACCAAAGAAAACAACAGACAATAGAAACAGAACCTCACAAGATTCAAACAATGGAATAATCAGATACAAACTTTAATATACTTACTATGTTCAAAGATTAAAAAAAAAAACGAAGTTGAGAATTTTAGCAAAGTATTTCAAAAAAAAAAAGGAAACTGTAGCACTGCAAAATATAACTAAAATTAAGAACTCAGCAAATGGCTTTAACAGTGGCTTAGACATCCTGTATAAGAATTAGTGAACTGAAGCACAAATTAGAAGAAAATGTCCAGAACAAAGCAGAGACACAAAAAGATAAAAAATACAGGGAAAAAATCTTCAAGAAATATTGGTAAGAAAACAAATTAACAATGTCACATGCAAAGCATAATCACATTTTCGTTTAAAATAAATTAAAAAAAAATTATCTTGTGTATGCATAAAGAAGTGCTGGAATGACACTCCAGAAACTGGTTAACAGTGATTATTGCCTTTGGAGACAGTCTGCGGTGGAAAGAAGACATTTTTCATTGTATACTTTCTTGTACATCTGATTTTTTTATAAACATGTACATATATTATTTTTTCAATTAAAAATTAAATTTTCTTGTTGACTTAGACATTGAAGAAACACTAAAAGATTCAGAAACATACCCGAAGTCATTGGAAAAATCTTCCTTCAGTTGTTGTTGTGTGTGCCACTGAGTTGATTCCAACTCACAGCTACCCTATAGGACAGTGTAGAACTGCCCCATAGGGTTTCTTAAGTTGAAATCTTTACAAAAAATATACTTGTTTATCTTTACCTTTAAATAAATAATAGAAGAATCCTTTCCAAAACAAAACAAACAAAAACCAACCATAAAAATCCCCAACAGACAATATGAAAACCTCAAGTAAAGAAGTAACTCATCTGGTTCCTCAAATCTATGACACAGATGACCCAAAAAGTAAATTGTCGAATCACTCATCATGATCAATGTCAAGTTCATGATCTACCTACCGATTCAGCTGCCAAATGGTTATTTGAATTGGTGAACTCTGATACCAGCTCATCAGCTACTTCATTATATGACGTTGTTCCTTTCCGCTGAACTTTCTCACACACTTTCATTGAAAAATGTCTCAAGCCTTTTCCATTTTTATCTCCTTTTTTGCTTCGTTTACTAGAAGAGAAAAAAACAATCTTTGTACTCTATTATGCTTATTAAAGATTTCCTTTACAAAAACTCCATAAAATAATACAAGAAGAAAGTAATTTAATTTTTGCCTTAAGGAGTAAAATTTAAAATTATATTAGAGATAAGGAAATACTTTTAGTTTTTGCTTTAAGAGACTAATAAAGAACGAAACTAGTGATTTTCTATGCACATCATTCATTCATTCAACAAATACTTATTGATTACTTATTACGTACAAGGCATTGTCCTAGACACTAGGAATAAGTCAGTGGGGGAAAAAAAAAAATAACCCTGCCCTTGTACAGCTTATATTCCTGATGCTACTGCAGTCCTCATCTAGATGGGTGAGGGCACCATCCACCCAACCACCCAAGCCAGAAACACCACCTGATTCATCTATTCTTTCACTCCCTTCCTACCTAATCAATCTAATTCTATGTAATCTAATCTAATTCAGATCTTGTTCTTTTTACAAGCTAATTATCTCTTGAATTCAACCTCTTCTCTGTTTCTATTGCCCTAGTTGTGGCCCTCATAATCTCTCTCTGAATATAACCACAGCCTTCTGACTGGTCTCTCTTGTGCTGTGTAGAGGCACCCCAATCCTTTCTCCATATGGCCATTATGACGACCTTTCTACATAAATCTGACCATGTCTCTATTCTGTTTAAACTCGGTGGTGGTGGTGGTCGTAAATACTTACTAAGTGCTATGTGTCTGCTACTGTTCTAAGTAATTTCATTTTTTAAAATGATCCATCAATTCCCATGGGCTACATACATTTGCACACAAAACACACTCTATGTTGATTTGTCCTTGGAGTCTGGTGTATTTAGATACAAATGGCTAGTCATACATAAAATTATATAATTAGTACACATTACGTAACAAAAGTAAATAAGGATTGCTAAAATAGGAGTACAGGGGTTATTTTGAAAGAAATAGGCTGTGTAGGAGGCTTTATATTTATGCTAAGAATTGGATAATGGCTTGAATAAAACTGTCAACTCAGTGGTCCCATATTTTTTAAAAGCCAGGGAGGACACAAGGCTGTTGTTTTTCATGTAATTCTGGGACCTTTTAGAAAGGGAGCCATAAGGTAATCACAGGGTAGTTTTGTGTGATCATTTGGATAATTTGCTCTCTACAGTAAGCCATGGATAATATTTAAGAAACTAAACATAGCCCTTAATATCAAACCCAACCCACTGCTGTCAAGTTAATCCCAAGTTATGGCAACCCTGTGTATAACAGAGTAGAAATGCTCCATAGGGTTTTCTTGGTGGTAATTTTTACAGAAGCAGATTACCAGGCCTTTCTTCTGGGGAGCCGCTGGGTGAGTTTGAACCATCAATCTTTACGTTAACAGTCAAGTGAAAACTATTTGCTCTCAAACATAGCTCTTAAGCAGGAACAACTAAACTCTTTACACAGTAGTTAAATGCAAATGACCATAATATTGAAACATAGACACAAGACTATATGTAAGTGGTTGATAAACTTAGTTCAATACACGAACTGATAATAACCTTGAAGAAATTTGGGGTTAAATATCGACACTGATAAACTAATGTTTACTAGCTATATATTTTGAGCAGTTTATTTCATTTATCTCTGATCCAGAGTCCTTCATCTTAAAAATGGGGATACAAACACCCACCTCACAAATTTGTTGTGAGGATTCAATGATACAGCATGTGTAAAACATATGGTACTGTAGGTGCTTTTTTCCCTTCATGAGTTGCCAAAATTTTCATAATCAATATAAAAGTGAAGGGCAAACAACAAATGCATGAGCAACAGAGGACAAAATAGACTGAGACCTCATAAAAATGAAATACTGTAGTCATCAAAAGACTTTATTAAAAGAGTAAAAACACAACCTACAGACTGGGAAAAAATCTTTGGGAACCACAAATCTGATAAGGGTCTAATATCTAAAAAATATATAAAACTTCTACAACTTAACAACCAAAAGACAAATAACCTAATAAAAAAATGGGCAAAGGACATGAATAGACAACTCTCCAAAGAGGATATTCAAGCAGCCAACAAACATATGAAAACACTCATTGTTATCAGTCATTAGAAAGATGCAAATCAAAACCACACTGAGATATCACCTCGCCCCTACTAGAGTGGCAATGATTTAAAAAAACAGAAAATAACAAATGTTGGCGAGGATGTGGGGAGATAGGAACCCTTATCCACTGCTGGCGGGTACGTAAAATGGTAAAATTCTTGTATAAAACAATATGGTGATTCCTCAAAAAATCAGAAATAGAGCTACTATATGATCCAGTACTTCCACTTCTAGGTATATACCCTAGGGACTTAAAAGTAGGGACATGAACAGACATATGTATGCTGATGTTCAATGCATTATTCACAATAAGAAAAAAGATAGAACCCATGTTCTTTCAGCAGATGAATGGATAAACACAATCAATGTGGTGCATATATACTATGGAATATTACTCAGCCTTAAAGAAAAACAAAATCCTGATACATGCTACAACATGAATGAACCTTTTAGACATCATGCCGAGTGAAATAAGTCAATCACAAAAGGACAAATGTATGGTCTCACTTATAGTTGAAATGACAAGAACAGGTAAATATATAAAAATCAATGGTTACTAGTGGTTACCAGGGGTGGGAGGGGGGAGAGAGATGGGGAATTATTCTTTGGGAAGTGTCGAACGTTTGTGTATGATGATGGGAAAATTGGAGTTGACCAAGGGTAACTGTTACACAACCTGACTATTATATCATTACGCTATACATGAGTCTTCTAAAAAGGGGAAAATGACAAATAGAAAGTTATATTTAATTTTACAAAAAAACCAGCAGCAAATAAAAAAAAAAAAGACAAGGTTCAGCTGTTGATACTACTTAGGTACAAATAAACATCTTACAGGATTAGTTTTCTTGCTTTGAAGGTCTAGGGTCATGGCTTCATGGGTCTGTCTACTCAAATGGCCTAATACTGTTTTAAGAGTTTCTGTTCTACTTCCTAGTTCAGCGAGTAGTGCCTGGGGTCTTAACAGCTTGCTAGTGGTCACCCGAGATACAACAATTGGTCTCTATTTGCCTGAAGCAACAGAGGAAGGAGATCCAGGAATCAGAGAAGGAAATGGTCTGCAGGTCTAATTGCCTCCATGAACTACTACTTCCTTTGCCATGAGACCAGAAGAAATGGATGGTGCCCGTCTACCATTACTGAACATTTTGATCAAGGATCCAATAGATGGATCCTTGATGAAAAAGAGGAAAACTGTGGAATGGAATTTCAAATTCTTGTTGGAAACCAGACTTACTGGATACCTTGAAACTGGAAGAACCTTCAAATCTATTACCTGGAAACTTTTAAACCTTGAACCAAAACTAACCCATGAAGTCATCTTTAAACTAAACAACAGTTTAGCTCAATAACCTTTGCCTTCAGCACTGTACCCTTGTAAAGAATTACCTATATGAGATCAAAATGACAACAGCAACTCTAAAGCACAGATGAGAACTTTAAGGGGCAGAGAGTCTAAGTTAACGGTGGTGAAACCATATGGGCAGAGATAGTGAGAACGGTGAGACAACGTGAAGTATGTAACCATTGTCAATGATCTGTATATGTAAAAATTGTTAAAAGGGTTATGTTTTCTTGTGTGTATTTTCACATAACAAAAACAAAAAAAATGAAGGGCACTAACTCAAAATCAGCTGAATCAAGAAATTAAGCTTGTCAGCCATCTAAGATGCATCAATTGGTCCCAACCACCTGGAGTAAAGGAGAATGAAGAACACCAAAGACACAAGGAAAGTATTAGCCCAAGAGACAGAAGGGCCACGTAGACTAGTGACTTCATAAGCCTGAGACCAGAAGAACTGGATGGTGCCCGGCTACCACCAATGACCGCCCTGACAGGGAACACAACAGAGTCGCTGATGGAGCGGGGGAAAGGTGGGATGCAGAGTCAAATTCTAGTAAAAAACCAGACTTAATGGTCTGAGACTGGAGGAATCCCATGAAGCATGTCCCCTGGACTCTCTGTCAATCCAGAACTAACACAATTCCTGAGGCCAACTCTTCAGACAAAGATTGGACTGGACTGTGGGACATAAAATGATACTCATGAAGAGTGTGCTTCTTAGCTCAAGTAAACACATGAGACTAAACGGGCAACTTCTGTCCGGAGGTGAGATGAGAAGGCAGACGGGGTAAGGAGTTGGTTGAATGGACATGGGAAATCAGGGGTGGAAAGGAGGAATGTGCTATCACAGTATAGGGAAAGCAATTAGGGCCACGTAACAATGTACGTATAAATTTCTGTACGAGAGACTAACTTGAATTGTAAACTTTCACTTAAGCTACAACAATAAAAATAAAAAATAAAAAAAAAGAAATTAAGCTTGTTCTTTGGAAGGCTGGTAGGCCATCACGCCTAAACCCAATCAATGTCTACACTAAAACTCAAAAGGCGAGGTTAGAATATCCAACATCCTGCAATACACAGGTATGAGATTTTGTCCTACAACCAATCCTGTCAGTCACTTCTTTAAAAGTTAAATGAACAATGCCTCCAATTAAGAAAATAAATAAAAGTGGACTACGAAATGAGAGGCTCAGAATTAAGACAAACATCTAGAATACTCAATGAAGTGGAAAATTTGTGCATCTATAAGAGTGACCTGATTCTAGCTCCTTCTCTTTACTCATAACTAAATGTGTTCATTTTAGGAAGTGTCTCAGCTGTCTACTGTCTTTAGCCTCTCCCCGAGTTTGTTAACATAAACTTATATTAAAGTGTAACATAAAAGTGAATCTGTATTAAGTATCTCTTTTTAGTCACTACCCATACCCACCCTCCAGCTCAAAGATACCCACTACCATGAATTCTAACATTATAAATTAGATTTAGCTGCTTTGAACGCTACATAATTAAAATCATATAGTATGTACTCTTTTATGTCTGACTCAACATTATCTT